AGTCTGACGAAGCTCCTGCAGGCCACAGGCAGGGCGGCACCCATGCAGGACCAGCTTGGAACATCATCCCCGACCTCCGCCAAACACCTCTGAGTCTCCTGAAAATGTCTTTGGAATCTCAGCAATGACATCGACAAAGCTCGAGTAGTCTTGGGCTTCATGCAAAGTCCATGCCTCTGTGGGCCCCCGCCGCGATCATGGCATGGATCCGACCTCCCAGGCAAACACTGTAGGATGGACCATCGGAGCCGAGTAGCAGAAACGCGTGAGACACGCACCACACTACGGTCTGAGAAGCTGCTACCCGGGGCCTTGAGCCCTTGAGCCTGCCTGCCTCCCAAACACTCACAGGATTGCCATGGCCTGTAATGTCATGCGCTGTCTGGATGGAGTGGCGCACAATGCTCCCTGCGTCGCCTGTGGCAATCTAGCACAACATACGTCTTACTGATCCCGGGAACATGAATAGGGCGGGCCTCCATATTGAAGGTTTGTGTGAGCCGACATGTTGTAGCCTCCATAGCCTGCCGTGAGGTTGGGCAGCTGCGACCTGGGATCGCGAAGCTCGGATTCGGAAAGTTAGGATGCGAACTTTTCAAGCAGCCGCACCAAGGCTGGTGCTGCCCTAGTCGACCAACGACCGCATTGTATGCGCCTGATGGCTGACCTTGCAGCTTTGCGAGTTGATTTATTCTTAACGGGTTCCGTCGCTGCACCTGGGAAATCAATCTGGCCGGCGGAAAGACGGAAGCCCAGGACCTGAGCGCCCGGTACAACCCTCGTCTACTTGGAGCTACAGCTTTTCCTGAGGCCGGAACCCAGAGCCGGAAAAGCAGCATGGCCTGCAAAAAGAATGTTCTCGCTTGGCGCGGGGTCTGCGCAGCGATACTTGCAGCATACCGCACCCACAGACAAACACGCACGCACGAATGCACGAATGCATCGATGGACATCCATGCTCGACATGTTTAGCATGCACCTGCCCGGCCAGGACTTGGGCAGATCCCGCCCCAGATGACTGGAGCCGGAGCACCAGCGGAACAGAAGCACAGAAGCCACAAGAAAGCTGACGCGACCACCTCGTCTTTCAGTGCGGCTGTCGAGCAAGACATTGACTTGCAGCACTGCTTTTCCACGAGCTGCCACAGCTGCACAGCTTGTACAATGCACATGGCAGTGTACGAACAAAATCATGCTTGCACGGACTGGCGCTGACCTCAAAATAGGTCGAAAAGCCTCCAGACTTGCAAAGCCAAGGAAGTTGGACTGTCCTCCAGCCGGAGACGACAACTGCGCTTCAACTCCACCGAAGGCGCAATGTGCCGGATGACTGGGCCTCACGCCCCCCCCCGGCTTCTGAGCTCCTTCACTTCATGATCTTCATCTTCTCTGCCATTGCGCCCCCGCGTGGAGCGCAGCTCGCCTAAAATGGCCAATGGCCGAGCTCGAAGGGAAGCAGATCTTGGCAGCTCTCTTTAGCCTTAGCTGAGCCCCTTCTGCTCCAAGCCCTTCTGCTCCAAGGCCATCGGAGCTCCCACGGCGTGAGGTGCGGGGGAGCGGAGCCAAAATTGGTCACAAAAAGCGTGCGCGGGCCTCGCTCGGCAAATTCTCTGCAGGCTGCAGTTCCAAAGAGATTTCTGTTGCTCCGGGATCTCCCCTGCAAAGACGCGGAAACTCGATGAAACTCGGATACACAGTACGTCTGCATGTCTTTCCAGATCCCAGAGCTGGGCCAAACTGAGCCTCACCGCTCAGCCCTTGTTACGAGAAGGCCCGCGTGATGCCAGCCCTCAAACGGGTCAGCTTGATCTTTGCCGTGCGCATGGCATCGAGCCATCTTGAATATACACTTTTCCTGGAGATATTCAAGCTCCCTCTGGGCCCTTGATCTGCCAGGACTTGTGAGACTCGGAAAGTGCACAGTGCACGCCAACTCGATGCATGGTTGTCAGAAACACAACGTCCACCATGAGGCTAATGGAAGCATAGCACCATTTCGAACGGACCTGCAGCATAACATCCGTCTTCTTTCGGAAGCGTTAGCCGTTACGCTGACTCTGTCTTGCAGCTGGCTGGAAGGCTTTGCTTCCATGCTTCTGAACCATGCTTTGAGTTCATGGCATGTGCCACTTGTACATGTAGAGATATGCCGGACTGCTGTTCCTTCAATGATGCTTTGTATGGCACTATATCGTTGCCGCTGGCGCGTTTCAGGGGGAGAACATATCTTCGGAGTTTGGGCCCACTCGGCCTAGAGGAGGCTATACTGCCAAGGCATCCTCACGGCCGTCACGCTGTGGGAAGTTGAGAGCCTGAGCGGGTCCATCGCTCCCAAGGATGCTGGCAATCTTCCGCTCACATCGTCGATCCTCGCCTGGACCCTCCACATGCGTTCCTCCGGCCACTGCCATGTGGTCCTGCGAAAAGAGGGAATGGCAACTGGTGTGAGAAAAAGAGGAGAGAGAGAGAGAGAGAGAGAGAGAGAAAGAGAGAGAGAGAGAGAGAGAACAAAAAAAAAGAAACGGACTGAGATCAGTTGTGCTTGAAGAATAGGCCCCGAACAGCTCTTCTTCGGACTCCGTCTCCGAAGCCTCAGCCCGTCACACCATAACATCTCAATTTTTGCCTCCCGCCTCGCTCCGACGAACCCGCGCAATCCCTGGACTTCACGGCTCTTTGCCATGGTTCGGATGCTTCAGAGATGTGGATGCCTCAACTCGTCGCTAAGTCTCATGCTGATGCCTCATCGTCCCCACTGCCGCGCCAGTGACCTTGACGTTCCCAAGTCACGAAGTTTAGGTCGGGCTAGATCAGATTCTATACATCCAGTCCATGCAACACTCGAACACGTCACAATTTTGAGGCAACTGCTGCATCCCAAATTCGCGGGCCGTTCACCCAACACCTTGGCAGAAAAATCATGCGCCCGGGCAGGAAGGCGCCAGGACGCAAGCTAAGCTAGACACCCGGTTGGCCAGCCACTGCACCCCTCGCAGGACAGGACGTGCAGCACCTCGGCTGGTCGACGAACACCTGGACCAGAACAACAAGAAGCCGCACTCATCCGAGCATCTGACGGACCACTTGAAGTGCCGGGGAGACGGGTTCCTGGAATGTCAGGCGGACTAGTCAAAGCCCTGCAAAAAGCATGTGCTGAAAAACTCGCCGCAGTTCTGGGCCTCTAGGCCTGAGCACAAACCTTTACCGATTCATACCTCGCATCTCAACACACTCTGTAAAGGCTTCGCCTGGTGTCAACCGTGTGAAGATGCCTGGAGGCACCCGTGTAATTAAATGGATTGCCCTTCGGCGAAGCACGAGCAGCTAAGCAAACTGGAGCCAGATTTCGGCTCGTCGTTGCGCCATGAGCGAGATTGGCTTGGAAGACAAGCAACGGCTAAGTGCCTGAGTCGACGTGGACGGCCGCCAGACAGCTTTTTCTGGCACTGCGTAGCTGAAGGGTTCTGATCAAGACACCAACAGCCCCCCCACGAAAGCTGCCTGTCCCTGCTACTGAGCTGCTACTGTTCAACCGTGGGCGGACACATCCTTTTGGAAAAACGCATGTAGACGAAACGGCTTAGAGCCTGTCGATGACCCACTTCTGCAGCCCAACATGTAGCATCTGGGCCAAAGGCCTGCACGACCCGGCCCCTCCGGGCATACTCTACAGCACGCCGCCATACAAGCACGTGTACTTTGAAACGTTCGGGGAGACATGCCCAAACCGCACATGTGTCCTGCATTAGCGGCCCTAAGCAGCTGTCTGGCGGCCACTCCATCGTCTTAACCTTCCAAACCTGGCGCAGAATGCACAGAATAACGCCTTACCCGTGGTTCGGCAAGGCGACACGAAATAACAACACGGTGCTCTAAAGCACTGCGTCGTTCAAAAGTGGCACGACACCTGGAGGCGGCGTGCCAGTTGTCGCATTGCTGGCAATGCAGCTGATTCTGAATTGCGTGCATGTGAGGCACCCTCGCTGCCTAAGGGCACCGCACGTCGACAAGGGTTGGAAGCACTCAGTTGTCGCAAAGCTTGCAACATAAGAATTGCGCGAGAGTCGAGGATGCAAAACTAACTGACAGGTCGACCTTCCTTCCATGCCTGATGCCTCCACAAGAAAGGCATGTTGAGGAAGCGATCCTCATGGCAGCAAAACTTTGGGGCAACATCCCGAAGGATGTTGTTCAAACATTCATGATTGAATATCTGTATGAACGTCGCTCGCCGACGCTATGCGTGCTTGCAAGATTAGGCAAGGCCTAAAAGCAGTGCACCAACTGCCACTTCGCACTCTTTGCGATTTTGCAACTTTAAAACAGTGACAGGGCAAGCTGCATGATCAAAGTGTATTTCGTGTCTGCAACGGGCAAGGGCAGCTGAAACTCTGCATAGAATCCCTGTTCCCTGCCGAAAAGCACCGGCTTTTCACGTCAAGACTTCTCGACGTGAACCGTAGGCTTTGTTTGTTCGGAACTTGGCATCACTCGCGCACTGTCCTTTACTCTGCTGACATTAGCTGCCTTTCTCACGACTGAGAAGTGCTCCGAGATTTTGTTGTGAGATAAACAGTAACATGCCGTTACGCTGACGAGTGCTGCGCACAAAATCACCCACAGAGATCAGCCTTCTCTCGACCGCCCTAGAAGGGCCGTACGGGACCAGCTTAAGACCGTTTGGAAGGGGCCTTCCCACTTTCCGGGGTCTCACAGTATCCACAGCCTTTCATGGCTCAATCATCTTGGCATCGCCCGGGTCATCGAAGGGACAGCGGCACAGTGGGCACGTACTCCTTAGCATCGGGTAGTGCGAGCCACAAGTAGCAACCAATAACAACATGCGATCAAGACAAGACCCGCGCGATTGACTGGAATGCGACGCACCCCAGGCTGCAATGCAGTGCTCACAAAAAAAATGGCCACACCTGAGCCGGCCCGGGTCTCACGTCTGACTCCATGTTTTGCTCACTTCAGCAAACCTCCCATATACCAAGACCATTGAGTCCAGCGCGGTAGTACCGCTACCTCAGTGAGGACATACATACATACATTCATGCATAAGAAATCGTAAGTACATACGCCACAGCTGGTACAAAAGCAGGCATCTCTGCATTCATGAATGTATGCATGCATGCATGCATGCATGTGTGCATGTGTGCATGTTTGTATGTATGCCTGCACGCATGTCCGTCCGTCCGTCTGCCTCTCTGCCGGTCTGCCTCTCTGCCTGTCTGCCTGCCACATGCGCTTGCGCATGCGTGTATGTGTATATATAATATATATATATATGTATGTATATAGAGATGTGTACATGTATGTCTCTAGTTACACATATATACAACGTCATAGATATACAACTATAGAAAACGGGCGAGTTGCGTGGTTGCCTTTCTGTCTCCCGCTGCTATCTACTTATCTATTGATCCATCCAGGCTGGAGTGCTCTCATGATGTGCGTGCATATCTGCATCCCTGACGGCACGTGCATGCACGAATGCACAATCTGCCCTTTGCAGATGCATTATGCGAGGATAGAGCACCTAGCAGTCCTAGTACTACATGCCGCCCAACAAGGTTCATTCAGTCAGCACCCTGAGGCTCGGATTAAAGAGTGAGTCCTAATTGCCAACAACCGCTCCGTCTCGGGAGCATGCAGGAGGACGACTAGCAGACTAGCAGACTGGCACCACAGGCCACCGAACTCACCGCTCTGTTTGGCCGATATCACTAGTCCGTTACGTGCGGTGTGGCATGTACCTAAGCTATCCGGAAAGATGCACTGCAGAAGCACTCCCTTTTTCGGATGGCTGTCGCCGGAGCGGAGTCTCCGTAATCCCGGTCGGTATCGGACCGGAAAAACCAGAACGTGCTACGGCCAGATATTCGGTCGGTCGGCGGGTATCGGTGGATCGGCCGACCGACGGGAAGGACTTTGCTGGGTATACTGCCGGCCTACCAGCTATATACACAAAGTCCAAGGAAGTCCAAATTCCAGCTAGCAATTCCACAGATGGAAAGGAAGCTCAAACGGACAGGAGGAGAAATGGGGACGGGGGCGGGCAAGAAGCTGGCACACCGTCGGGTAACGGAACGGAGTGCTCGAGAAGCACGGCTGCGGATAGGTCACCCTTGCCGTTGCGAGAAATCGGACAAACAGCTTACGACACGTCGAGAAACCGTTTGGCCGATATCACTAGTCCGTTACGTGCGGTGTGGCATGTACCTAAGCTATCCGGAAAGATGCACTGCAGAAGCACTCCCTTTTTCGGATGGCTGTCGCCGGAGCGGAGTCTCCGTAATCCCGGTCGGTATCGGACCGGAAAAACCAGAACGTGCTACGGCCAGATATTCGGTCGGTCGGCGGGTATCGGTGGATCGGCCGACCGACGGGAAGGACTTTGCTGGGTATACTGCCAGATGTAGAACTCGGAGCCGGGCAACAGAGTACCCGCAGGGGAGAAACCCAGCCAAAGTCAGAACTCTAGCCGCCCAGAACCGGCGAAACATGCAACTAGCCCGGACGTGCAGCCGGAAAAACAGACGCCGACCAGGCAGAAGGAGGAAAATACTGTGGGCGCGGCGGTGCGGACAGTAATTCCCATGGGATCAGCACCTCATCAGAAGCAGTCATGCCAAGATCAGACGGGGATGCGGAGCGGCTAAGACCGTCCGCTACCTTGTTGCGGAATCCCGGAACGTGATCGATGTAGGTGCTAACACAAAAGTGCCTCTGCCAGGAAAAGTATGTGCGGAGTAGGGAGCAAAGGCCGCGGGCCGTGGAGATGCCCTTCCACGAGGCAGAGTCGGACGGGGCATTATCGCACCTGCTGATAAAGTGGACCGGAGGGTGTCCGGCCGGAATGAGCAGAGCAACACACCAGACGAGAGCCAGCTGACCCAGAAGCTCCCACGCAGCAATGAATTTCTGCGGGGCGGACTGTTCAGCGAACCAAGGGAACAGTGACGCCAGCTCGGAAGCGGAGAAGGTTCGGCGAAACCACACGCATCGGCCGGACACCAAGCGAACATATCCTCCAAGGCCAGCGGAGCGTGAGTCGGCACAGGCATCGGCAAAAGCCTCGCATTGCAGCAGAGGGGCTAAAGAAAGAGCAAACGTCGGGACATCACCGGAGAGGCAAGACTGCCACATGCGAAGGATCTCCTGAGATTCGGACGATAGCTTGCGATCGCTGTCAGGTGGCATGCGGACGGAGATCCAAGTTCTGCGCTCCCCAGCAAAGGCACGCGGGACGTCCGCCAGGCAGGTAGGCTTAAGGTTACCGACGGAGACTAAGGTGCACCCTTTTGGACAACTAGAGAGTCCTACATCGTGCTGTAAGCGGAGGTCATCAGACAGGCCGGACCGGAAAGAAGCCCACAGGTCCGGAGACACGGCAACGTGCACCAGAGGCGGAAGCCCTTGGTCGCGGTACAGTGGACCCAGAGACGGGCGGAAAGGGCGGAAAAGGGAACAAACCCAGAGAAGTTTCCCGGCAAGTTTCCTCAAAAGGTGCAAGGGCACAGAGTCAGAGCGAGTAACCAGGGCCAGAAGGTCACGTAAGCGGGCCAGTTTAGGTGCTTCCAGAGTAGCGGACATGGAGTCAAAATCCATAGACCAGCCAATCCAGGACGGACGGCAACCGAGATAGGCCTTATGCCAACTCATGGGCACCCTAAGCAGAAGAAGGAGCACACACATGATTGCGGCCCATACCGGAGCGGACGGCCCGGAGAACAACGATATCAAATCGTCAACATAGATAAGAAGGGCGTGCCGGACGAAAAGCAGGCGGTGCAGAAGGCGGGACAGAAGGCCGGCGACACGCGCCCAATAGTATCCAGAGGCCCTGGCGCCGAAATTCAACGTGAGGCATTGATACAGCTTCCGGCGGTGAAAGAAGCAAAGAAGTCCCCGGTCGGAAGAGCGGATGAGAATACGCCGGTGCGCTTTGCTGACATCAAGGACAAGTGCAAATAAGCGCTCAAGGGAGGTGCGGCACGGCAGGCAGCGCCGGAGACCGGTGATGGTAGGGTTGGCCGACTTGTTCGGAAGGTGGGTGTGCGCCGTGACGCCGGAGACACTGCTGTCAACCACCAGGCGCGGATCCCGGTCCGGAGCCTTCACAAGGCCAAGCTTGCCCACTGCGGAGCGGCTATACTGGCGCTTCAGAGTAGCAAGTCCACCCGGGATCTCGGCAATCCAACCTTCCGAGACCTCGGCTTGTAACAGGCGGTCAACGGTAGAAGGGTCAGACAGAGCGGACCCCCAAGAAGACTCGCAGTGAGTCAAGTCCATGTCCGGCTCCGGTGCAGGCGGTGCAGGAAACAAGGATGGACACGACGGCATAGGTTCATCCACGCCCAAGGGAACCCCCGACACGAGCAAGTCGATGAAGTCAACATCCGGGTCCTGAGCCACGGACAGAAGGGCCTTAAGCAGAAAGAGGCGGAAGGGTTGGCCGGGCGGAACACGCAGAATCTGCTGAAAATCGGCCTCAGAGAGACCCAGGCACGACCGCAAATCCAAAAGGAAAGGGGCCAAGTCAGGCTCGGAAATTGGCGGGTGTTTGGCACCGGAAGCGACATTGGCGCGAAACTTGGCAAGGAAGTCACCCGACAGAATGCGGGAAGTCCAGGTTTTGCGGAGTGAAGCAAAACAGTTGGGGCCGGACGGGACCGCCCAGGAAGCAGTAGACACAGAACCAGCACCATCCTCAACACGGGACGGTGGAACGGGCCAAGAGGAACGAGGCGGAAGCAAAGAAGTTTCCCACTCCAGGAAAGACACCAAACGGTTGTCGCAGGATAAGAAAGGGACCAGAATCGACGCAAGGTCCGCACACAAGGATGCAGGGCAACAAGCGGTGTGCCTCGTAAGGAATTGGCCAGAGGAATCACGACGACCGGAGAGGGCCGGGTGGAATCCAGGGCGGCGCGGGCAAAGTGCAGCAAGATTCGACAAATCGGACAGGTTCGAAACGAACGTCCATGATTTAAGAGCGGACAGGCCATGCGCGCATGCCGCAACTTGCGTGGCAGAAAGTGCATGATGACGGATCCAATGCTGGCATTCGGACGTCAGCCACAGCAGACTGGAGGTGGGATTTCCAAGGACCACAATCCCCCCTTGAAGAAGAACAAGAGAGAGGAGGTCACGTGTAAAGGAATGCAGTTCATCGGAGCGAGAAAGCTCGTCTTGCTGCCGCCGAGTTGGGTTGGGAATGCCCCCCGGGTGCGAGGGAGTCCTGACGGCAGGGGGGCCACCGGGCCGGAGGCGGGAACGACTGAAGCTAGCACATGGCGGAGCAGCACACACCACACGGATAAATCCTGATGAACACAGCCGGCGCAAGGACGCCTGATGCCGCGGGCAACAAAGGTCGATTTGCTCGCCATGCAATGAGTCAATAGGTGATATGCGGTCCCCACCCAGCTGGGCAATAGCCGCGGATAGCGGAGCGGATGCCCCAGAGAACAAGTCCAGAAAAAGACCAGGGGGGGTGTCACCACCCGGGGAAGGAGCGGAGAGGCCCGGAAGGGGCACCGCATGCAAAGCCGCACGCTTGTGAGATGGGGACGGTTGTGGAACCGGAGCAGGGGGAAGTGGCAGGGTCGGCTCAACCGCGGGTGGAGCCGTTCCCGCAGGAGCCAAAGCACACGGGTGCAAAGGGCGGCCACTGCGAAGAGGGGCGGAAGGAGGGGCGAAGGACCAGGAAAAGCGCAGCAGAGGTCGGCGCGGAGACCGAGAGCGGTCAATGCGATCTGGGGCGGAAACGGAATCGGGTGCCGAATCGCCATCAGTCTGAGGAATCACCTCCACAGAGCCGGAAGATGAAACAGAACAGGCGTCATCTGGGATCGATTCGGGAGCCAACGCCGGCGGACCGAGAGCAGAAACCACGGTGCGAGCAGCAGGCTTCGGAGAAGATCAGTGCGCTGTCTTCATGTGTTTCGCAGCGGTGTGCCGTTGTCCGCACGGCTTGCCGGAGGGCATCATGATCGGACAGGTGTGAGAGAATTTGCAGGACGAGAGCTTGCACCGGCCCAAGACAAATCGCTTGCAAATTTCACGGCCGGACTCATCTTCGGCCGCCCAGGATGAGTCCCACAATTCGGAGACGGGCTTCTTGCCGGAACCGGTAGCAGCACCTTTGGGCGTAGCCTTCGGTTTGCCACCAGTGGGCGTCTCTTTGCGGGGCTTCTTGGGCGGCCGGTCCCCAGGAGGATCAGGCCGGTCGGTGGAAGGGGCGGCACCGGACCCACGGCCAGGTGTGTCCCGGAACGGAGGCGCAGTCATGGTCCGGGGACGGGCGCACAACAACGTGGGCAGCATGTGACGTGTGACGGACACCTCGTGGAGAGCGTCGGACAGGGACCACTTTTCGTCCCGCATGAGGCCTGCGATGGCGGCCCAGACGGCTTTCTCGGCAGACAGAGCCTCCTGCAGGGAGGGCGGCCGCAGTGTAGCATCCAGCGGAGCGGCGGTGGCGGTGCTGATAAACGCCTCCATGAAAGTTTTCCCGGGCCGCAGATGCAGGTCACCAAGGAACGCCAGCGCGGTTACCAGGAGACCACAGTGGCGACGGAGGGCCGGCTCGACCGGACCGGACACCATGGCGGTGGTCTGTGCAGCAATCGGCTCAGGAACGCCATCTAAGATGTGGCGGAGGATTTGCCCATCGGTGCGGGGGCGGCGCGTGTCATAAAAATTTTTGCAAGTCTTGCTCGGACGTACGGAGGCGCCACGGCACCCACAACGTGGTGGGCTTGTCCAGCTCGGAACGGAGTCGGCTCAGAAACTCAACGCTGGGCGTATTGGCCGGCGACAGGATTTCTCCAGGGTAGTTTTCCATGAATTTCTGGCGGAGCGTCTCGGCAGTTTCAGCTGTAACCTTAGGAAGCAGGGGTCACCGGTGCCGGACCACTGGGGTGGATCAGGGCACGGGACTGCACCAGAAGGTGGCGAGCAAAGGATGCGGACGGGGTGACCAAGGCCGTCGTGTCGGACGGATCGGCCGGAGGCCACAAAACGCGGAGAAAGTCATCCGGGCTGCCCTGTGCCGGGATTGCAAACGCCACGGACGCAATAGTCTTGAAACCTTTTTGCGTAGGCACTTCATGCAGGTCCTCCGGGGCGGACCACTTCTTCAGAAGAGCCGCCAGAGCAGCTGGGTCATCGAACGCCGGAACGGTCGAAGTCATGCCGTCGGCGAAAGAGACAGTCTACCTGCGAGCGCTGAAGCAGAAATGGCTGCGGACAAGGCGAGAGCAAGAAAGCACAAGCAGAGGCGGATCACTTGAGATGCAAGCGATAGACCCCAAGGGCCAGCACATGCAGGGTGTTTTCATGGCGGCTGCAAACTGACGGTGACAAAAAAATTTCAGCCCAACGCCAGAAGGGCCGGACACGGCGCGGGCAGGTCTCCGACCAGAAACGGGTCGAGACGGAAAAGCCGGCCAGCAGATCACAGGCGGGCCGGCGGTCACCAGCCGAAACGGTGACAAACACGGCAGGCATGACTCGTGTGAGGACGGGTCCATAATGCGGCGCTCTAGCCAAGCCACAAAAAACACTGAAAAGGGCAGTGCCTCGCGCTTCTCCACCGGACCAGTGGCCGAAAGGAATGCAGTGCAGAGCGGGGTCTGCAATTGCGAGTGCAGGGACGGGAGGCCCGCCACACGGGCCATCCAACTGAGCGCCTTGAAAGACGAGGTAGAAAGGCCGGACGGAGCAGAGGTCAGTTGTAGCCATTGCGGAACTGAGCCAGGCGGAGGGTCGGCAGGATCAAAGCCAGACCGAGTAGCATGAGAAACCCAGCCGGACCAGGACCGCAGGTAGAGCTGCAAAGTGCTAGGCGCGTTCTTGGCAATGGCTCGGGTGCGGAGCTCGCGCGGGTTGGGGACAGCCTTGGTGTGCAAAAACAGCGTGCTGCAATCACCCAGCTCGGCCACGAAATCACAGAACATGCCACGGAAATGTGCAAGGGCGCGGCCGGCCTCGGAAGCCATAGAGGAGGCCTCCGCGTCAGAGCTGGAAACAGGAAAGAAACCGCTGTGCACAAAAGGAGCGGCGCGGGCGGCATCGCCAAATGCATTCACCTTAGGAGAAATCACAGACCTGTGCGCAGGAGGCCCAGAGCCGCGGCGGGGCAACAAGGCCGGAGCCGGGGCAGAAAGGAGAGAGGGACCACATGGAAACACCGGGGCCGGAGAACGCATAGGCACAGGCGGAGCAGCCAAAGGTGAAGAGGAGAAGGGCCCCGGCACAGAGGCCCGGGGACGAACAGGTCGGGGAACCAGACCATGGCGTAAGTCCAGGATGGCCGGGGCACACGGGAAGGCAGGGATGACGATGCAATCCAGGCCGGGCAAGTCCATAGGCGCAGGGTCAGGGGCAGGGAGCCCAGGACCAGGCGGAATAACCACGAACGAGTGGCTAGAGGAGGAAGCGGGGCTAATCCCAGATGCCGGAGGGGAAGCCACCGACGGCGCAAGAGCCGGGGACGCAGCGGGCGAAGGGCAAGAGTCCCCCAAAAAAACCAACCGCCGTGGGGATGGAGAGCGGGCAGAGAAGCCGGCGCCACACCACGGAGAAGCTCGGCCAGGGCGGGAATGGACGATGTCAGCTGGGCACCCGGCCGAGGACACTGAGCACGCACCTGACAGGACGGGAAATGAGCTAGAAACGCAACGGCACACAGAGCAAAACGCGACCTGGATGACGTCAGAGTCGAGCCCAGCCTGGACAGGAGGTGGCGGCAGAGGCAGCAAACACAAGACAAGCAGTTGCATGCAACGGTCAGAGTTTTTGCGGGCTGGCAGGGCGGCAAGTGCACGCGGACCTGCAGGTCGGAATCATATGAATCGCAGGCGGGACGGGACGTAAAGGCTGAGGCCGGGGCGAAGCATGAACCGTATATGCTAAACTGCTAGTGCTATGCGGGCCGGACGGCCGGAGCGATTACAACCCGTCCGCCAAACAGTACGGGTGCTCGGTCCGGCTGTACAACATCACGGGCCGGAGGCAAATGCGGAGACACCGGGAACCCCGGGCCGGACAATCATGGGTGCAATAGCCCCGGACGGTGAGATGCTCCAGGGCCGGGGGGGCGGCTGGCGAGGGACCCAGGGCGGAAGGTCCCTCTCTTCGAAGCAGAAGAGTTCGGGATAGGGCCACGCGTCGGTGCGGACGAGCGGGCCGGGAGTGGCGGGGAGGAAAATGCATAGCCGTCTCCACCCCTCGGAGCGGCACCACGGGCCGGTGGCGGAGCGGCGGGGGGTGAGCTGGGCGTTCGGGTCGAACTCCGGCTCCTCGTCATCACGGGACGGGTCGCTGTGGACGAGCGGGGCGCCGGGCGGGATGGACGAGGTGTCCGTGAGGGCCGGGGGGCGGGTCTGGGCGAAGGGCGGAACGGCATTGGCGTCCAGAGCGCGGTGCACGGCATCGGCCCCGGAGCGGTCCGGGAAACGTGGCCCGTCCTGGATGCCACGGAGGTTGGACCGATGGTCTGGGGGGCACTGGCCGCGGTCCGGAGGCGGGCCGGCCATGTGCAACTGCCCGGTCGGAGTCTCGATGTCGAGCTGGGTCAGGTTAAAAATAGCGTAAAATTGGTCGGACGTGACTTCGGAGACCAGCGTGTTGATCCGCACCAAGTGGCTGACCGGAAGATCGGCCAGGCCGGCATGAGATCGCTGAAGTCGACGGAGTCCGGAGCGGGGGCACCAAGCGGCGGACCGGATCCAGAGGCCGCCGGGGCAGACGAGGAAGCCCCACCATCTCCAGAGCCACTGGCAGCCTTGGGAAGCTGGGGCGGTAGCTCGGGTCGCGGATGTCAATGCCGGACGACAAGCTGCTCCGGGCCGGCGGCGCCGCAGAAACACCAGCCGTCGTAGGCGGATGCTGGGGCGGATTCTTCGGAGGCGGCCCAGGAGCGGCAGCCAAGAAAGTCGCGCCGGACGACTTCGAGACAGGGGCGGGTGGCACAGCTGCACCATCGCCGCCAGAACCGTCATGGGCCGGGCCAGAGGCAACGGCAGTCGGGCCGGCAGAACCATCTCCACCAGCGGCCAGTGGCGCCGGAGAGCCGGGCCAAGGCGCGGAGGGGGTGCAGACCACCAATGCGAGCCATGGCGTCAGCGATGGTGAGCGAAAGAATGCTGAAAGCTTGAGTGTGGGCAGCAGCTGCAGCGAAAGCAGGAAAGTCAACTTGCAGCAGACTGCAGCTAAGCAAGAACGGAAACAGCGGCTTCCGGGCCTGGGCAACCGCGACCGGAGGATGGCTATCCGGGTCGGGCCTGGGCGGAAGAGCAGAAAGACCAGAAAGAGACCAGAGCGGCTGAGGCACCCACCGAAGGGGGCGGACCGACTCTGGCAACCTGCCGGAAAAACACCAAGGCAGCAAAGATAAGGCAAAACAGCATCGGACGAGCCTTCGCGGAAGTCGTCGGGACGGGCTCCTGCTAGGAGACCGACTGGTAGAGCTCGATGGGCTCCTTCGTCTACGGTCCCTACGCCGTCGGTGACGAACGCGGGACGGAGACGAGGAACGGGAAGAATGCGGCATCAAGCCGTGCAGCAGCCTAATCAAGAAGCTGGCACACCGTCGGGTAACGGAACGGAGTGCTCGAGAAGCACGGCTGCGGATAGGTCACCCTTGCCGTTGCGAGAAATCGGACAAACAGCTTACGACACGTCGAGAAACCGCGGCCCGAAAACGAGTCCAAACATGCGTGGGAGCGGGATAACGATTTCGGGGGCGGGTACGCCTGGGATTGTGGCGCGAAGACGATGCACGCGCACGCGCGCACACACACACACACCCAAAAGACGCATGCATCTGTAGCGGGAGCAGGACGTGGGATTCCGCTGTCACATTCCTAAACCTAAACCCCCGAAAGCCCTTAGAATGCAGGAATCTCCACACCACGCCGAGGAGGGCCCGGACCTATATATTCGGACCTGCAAATGCATGTGTAATTGTTTATATTATATACGTCTACATACATGTGCACATGCTTCTTTGCCCGCAGTCAATTGCAGTCATACCTGTCTGTGCACAATCGACAAAACCCATACAAACGGAAGTGAGCTATTGGGCATCAACGAATCCGCATACACCTTCGGGGATGTCCAGATTCATTTCTTGGCACCTTCTGTTGCAAAAAGTAACTTCTTTTTGACCTGCTCGCGTGGAGGCCCAGGACTGTCTGTCGTTTCTACATGTCGCAAGGAGATACATCATCCAGATCATGAAAAACAAGGTCAGAACTTTAGGATCTTCAGCGCTGCTTCCTGACTTGCTTTTCTGAAACCTAATATGCCCAACACCAATGGGGATTGTCTGCCAGGCATGCAATGCACATCGGGACGCAGAGCTCCGGAACCAAATGGGGACATCAGATCTCACAAGTCATTCTTGGCAAAGCTTGCGAATAGACGGACTGTCCCTCGAATCCAAAACAAGTGCTGAGCAGGTGCCACGTCCGGCCCGTCATACTCCTGGACAAGGCAGGCGTGCACGCCGTTAAACTTCTTGGTTTGTTGGATCTCGAAGGTTATCTGATGTTTCAAAAGAGTCTCTGTTGGTTGTGGCTGGTGCCTGGCACCGTCGCAGGGCTGTCGGA